CAAAATCCTAAACCTAAAGCCCTAAGCCGAAAACCCTAAATTGTGTACTTGGACCCCTGAGGCTTCTCGCATTCCGCCAAGCCCGGAAATCACGGACGTGTAGGGTATGCAGTGTTTAGGGTTTGGGGGCTATATAAGGGCAATATACTGATGTATATAGGATATACAAGGGTATTTAACGGTACACATATGTAAGGATACGACGTTAAGCTACGGAGCGCATTTCCTCCGCAACGTGGTCAGTATTTCGCTGCTCGACGCACGGGCAATTGGTTCTTAGGCGCTCGCAACCCACAGAAGTTGTGCAAACAGCTTGAAAACACTTCACTCAGGTCTCAACGGTCGTTTGCAAAATAAATTTGTGTTTGACAGCCGGGGAAAATGTCAGGGACGTAAATTGGCTTGAAATCCTGATGACCCGATAAACTTACCATGAGTGGCAGATCCAAACACATGGACTACTATAGAGGCGCAAGTGCAAAGCAATGGTCATGCCTCGTTTGATCTCCAAAGTTGGAAATGCAAACTGGTTCAAGTGCGCGTGTTGGCAGGCCTGGTGTGGCAGAGAGCTTCGAGAATTCCCAACCCTCCTATGCTGATGAAGCTGCCCGACGCCAATCGCGGAAGCAAAAATCATGGTGCCTGGCCAAAGATATATTCCAAAGGCACCTACTGTGGCAGCACTAATGTGCCACCCCATACAGCGCCAGCCCGAAAGTTGCAAGATTGTACCAACAGGCACCTGCTGTAGCAGAACTGTTGTACCACCCCTTACCGCAACGTTGCAACAGGATGCATACCCAAAGGCTGGTACTTCCATCTGATGTGCATTCTTTCTTTCCGTGAGGCCCCCGAGAACGCAGCACGGGGAAAGCAGCTTTATAGCACAAGATGAGTATTTTGCTCACTGGCATGATGTACGGGAGCCATCGGACCCACTCAATCCCCTTGCAGACCTTTCTAGTAGGGACTATGCGTGACAAAGCCTCGCTCTCATGATCCAGATGCCTCTGGACCTGACAAGTATGAAAACGTTGCAACCTTCCCGAGTACCCTTTTGGTCTCCTTGGTGCCCTTTCCCGCACTGCTTGCTCCAAAGCTGCTGCGGTGGTGTAGTCCTTCCGACACGTTCCAATTGGATTTACCATGCCCGCACAACCCTTTGGCAAGAGCGAACTTCGAATCTGCAAATATGTTGCGCTGTCATGTGGCAATCAGGTGCGACCTCAAGGCACACCTGGACAGCCCCGTGGCAAGCAACGACAATGGAAGCACGCAAAAAAACCTCGTACCATGTAAAAACGACAACACTTGGGCGGATGCGAAACAGTTCCACCGGTCGTAAAGCCTCCCGGTTGCAAGGATTGGGGCTTCATCCTGTAATCGAACCGTGATCACGGTCGAACACGAACCACCTCAAGCCTCCATAAGTCGTATAATGCTGTCCCAAACAACACTGCTCGCAAACCGTTACAAGCGCGCGGCGCACAGCGCTTATGCCCGAGCACGAGATCTTGCCTGCACATCCTAACGCCTAAAATCTGACCCCGAAACCTGAATCGAAAGGTGGCTCACGTAAATTTGGGAACTAGAATGCTTATTTGATAGCCATACGGTCCTGACTATAGGGGTTGGGGTAGGAAACAATCACTTTAATCATAATCCCTCAACATCCCTAAGCCCTAATCACCGACCCTACGCTCTTACCTGTACCCTACCCCTAGCCAGGATCCCGCGACCCTATGGCACAGCTTAGCCACAAATCAAACTGCATATCGCTCTCCAGCTTCTGCCGTTTGGGATCCCTCTGTTCCCTTTTCCAAGCGTCCGTTCGCCAAGAATCTCCTGATGACTCTTGCTGGTAGCGCATAGAGGTTCAAGGTTTAGGAATGGGGGTTTGGGATTCGGGGTCGCGTAGCAGTAAGAAACCTGCACGCAACAAGCGGACTGTGAGGGAATGTTGGCCTAGCCCTCCTGTTTGTGGAATTGTGGAGTTTTTGTTGGCGAGTCACGATCGTTCTTTTGCATGCTATATTTTGATAGCCGACACGTCTGAGCAACACCGTTACTAGTATCTTTCGCGAACAAAGAGGGTGCTATAACATCCCCATGCACGCAAATCCTGATCCACCCAAACAAGATTCCTGAAACAGGCAAGGAGCCGAACCCCTCTCGCACCAATGGCGATAGCAAGGCGGCCAACAGCTCAGGTCTTTTTGCGGCAACGCTAGACAGGAACTGAGGATCCTTCAATACGTCCTCTCTCAAGCAAAGGAGTGATGCCATCACTTTTCTCTTCAAAGTGGGACAGAATATCTGAGCATCGTCTGCAAACAGCAGCAACTCTGACCTTAGCCCCAGCACCCTAGGAAGAGTAAAGGCTTGGTCTTGCAGTTGTACGGCAAGACACACCCGAAAGGCATACATGACGGGTTCTTTGAGACCTGAGCCCGAGACCAAATTTCTGAACCGCTCCAACCCTTAATCCCAAACCCAGGACTTGAAACCCCATAGCCCCTGAACCCTCAATCCCGCAAACCCCCCCATCCTCAACCCTGAACTCTAAAGTCTAAACCCCTAATCATGAGCCCCAATTCCGAATCCGTAAAACCCCTAAAGCAAACTTGGCGACAGCCAACCAGAGCTCTGAAGTTGCATCTGTTTCCGGCTCTCGAGGATACCTGACAACTATTTCTCAAACAAATCATGCATGATGCTAACTTAAAAAGGAGTATAGTGATATGTGGTTGGATATGTAATTGCGTACTGGCTCGCCCTCGTTCCCTCGGCTTGTGGGGGGAAGAGGGGACCAATGGATGAGGAGTGATGCAACGAAGTATGGAAAAGGCCATAATGACTTTTGAACAAATTGAGAAAGGAAATCTACTAGTCTACTAGAAGGAATTATATAGAGAATTGCATGGAAGGGAGGGAACCAGGAGGGAGGAAAGTGAAGGGGCGAGAGGGGGAGTCGCAAAACGCACAGCAAATAGTTTTGTTCTTTGGAGGCTTAAAATGGGCTGTAACAAGAATATACAACGGCAGGCTATGCCGTATCCCGTGGTAGCCTTTGGAAGCTTTGCGCGCGTGCTTCGTCAGCCCTCCTGCCTTACCTGAAATCCTTGTGCGCTGCCTGAGGCCTCTAAACTTACTGGTGCTAAAGGGAAAGTGGAGGGCGGATCCTTATAATAATCCCTGGATAATCCACAGAGATACCCCTATAGGAGTCCCTATTTGGGGATTTCCCAAAATGTGGGTCCCTTTGTAGGCGCTCCTATAAGAAGGACTATGGTCTATTGGGGTCTATAATGGGTCCCCCCGGTTGGGAAACTACCATGTTTTTCTTGGGTATCACACACAAAGAAGACACTCATTATTGAATGCTGCTTGACACACGGAGGGTAAGCTAACTTACCATTTCTTAGCAAGGAATCGGTCCTTGTAGTGGTCTCTTTAGGGTCCCCAATATTTTAAGATGTTCCATCTTCTTTTTCATTCCTTCGCTCCCTGCTGACCAGAAGTAAGTACTAATCCCCATAATCCACTGTACAATCACAGCGTTGACTTCATTCTGCTTTCTTTTCCATTTGATCTCCACTCTTAAACGGGAATATAATATCCCCGTATGCCCCCTAGTATCCCCATTAGCATAAAAACGAAAAAACCCTTACCCCAAACCCTAAAACCCTAAA